CCCCAAAACCCCAAAACCCCAAAACCCCAAAACCCCAGCAACGAATAATGAAGTTGAATACTTTGAATTAAGAGAGTTTATTTTGGTCACCGACTTGTTCTTTATCAAAAATCGGATTATTGTCCATTCTCTGGTCATGTGTCGAGTCTAAAAAGTAAACCATACACATTACAGAATGATTGCTGGATGTTTCGGAAGGAACCCTTGGAGAACGAGAGTTTGGAATTGATCGATCCTCTCTTCGAATTTACAATGCTATAGGTTAGCAACAACTCGGTTACTCAGACCACTCTCCATGACTTGAAACAGTGCCTCTCTTTTTAGAGCTGCGCTTGAAGCTGTAATAAGAAGACCTAATCGAGCTCTTTTTCGATTTTAGACTTGGATGGTTCGCACTTCTTTTCCTGAAGTGGTTTCCAGTAAGGGTCATATAGTTATACCCAACAAAGGGCTCAAAAACTTCATGTTGAGGGTACATCTCCTTACATTCATCAACTTCCATGATTTCTTTGAGATTCTCAGACTTTTCACTGGGTTGGACCTTCCTTTGGTATTCTGCAAACCTCCTGATGTTTTTCTCTAAAAGTTAGGACAAGAGCTACTTTTTATTTGCGGAACTCTTCCGTTCTTCTTCAATTTCAAGTAGTGCTTCCTGAGCTGGTCTTTCGTACGGTTATTGAAGTATTTTGTAAAAACGGACCAGTTACATCCCTTGGTGGACACTAGGTTTAATAATTTGTCATTTTCCTTCTCACTCCAGTCAGCTTGTTTCTGCTTCTTGAGGTTCCTCCATCTCTTACTACAGTCAATCGGAGTCTTTGTCTGATCATTATGACCTCTAGCTGTTTCAAGTCTTTCAGATCTAGAATTTTTCTTAGCGGTTTTGGATTTTAAAATAAGAAAAGGAGTCAAGATTTAATACTTTTCTAAAGAATGTAGGTTTACATTAGTTGGACTTACATCTTTTTCCAATTTCCTGCATATTTCCCAACAAGGTTCATAAGCAAGGTGTCTTCGTTGGCATTCCATCTCTTGGCCTTGACAGTGGTAGTCCGAGCTTTTGAGAGTACTTTAGGATCAAGGAAAGCTTGGTTCGTAACGGAGAAGAAGTACTCATGCTCAGGAGTTATCCTACCCTTGCTCCCATCAGTGTAGCGAGGCTTTTTAGCCTTCACTGGTGAGAGATAGACTTCATCATTTGGATCCCGAGTTTCTCGAATCTGCTTCTTTTTCCTTAGAATATTACTAAACAATGAATTTAGCGAATAATGTTTCAAAGAAAATTCTTACTCTCTTCCATTCCGAGACTCTTGCTTGAACTTATGCATGCGGTATGTCTCCCTGAATAAGAGTTCAAACCTTTTAGTTTTGGGCTTCTTGTTAAAAAAACCTGAAAAATTAGGAGTATCTGAACCTGCAGGTCAGTAAGTTTGATCAAAATGAAATTTAGTTTTCCTCTTCGTTCAGGAATTATAGGATCTGCGCATTCCGTCAAACGTCTCATCTCCAATCTGGCGGGCGCTGGCTGATGAACTTCCTCGGCTTCTGTTCTGACTACCATTTCTTGGGGAATACATCTAAAATAATTTATCAGATTTACCATTGGAATCTTTACCCGAAAAGGACCAGAAATAATAAACGGAATAATTGTCACCTAATGTGCATAACTTTCAGGTGGTGTAGTCATAGGGAGTAACGCCAGTGATCACCTAAAAGGCATTCCTAAATTCTTTATTCCCATCTGAGAGATTTTAGTCGGAAACCCGAGGGTTAAGCACCAATACCTGTGAATACACGGTCTTGTGCATCGTTGATGAGAAATCAGGCTTTTTGATCCTGAAGGTATTAAGACCTATGTTTAGATTTCTCCCTCTAGACATTATTATTTCAATTTTTATAAAACTTTTGGGGTTTTGGGGTTTTGGGGTTTTGGGGTTTTGGGG